TGTTTATTGAACTGTTGTATTAAATCAATATCACATTTGCAAACTCCTTGAATAATTATTCCAATCTGTCACTCTCCTTATGGCGATCTGTGGGCGCACAGAAATGAGAGTTCTCGAGACTCAAAAGTGTGTGCAAATGATACGTTCAGTCATCTGTCATCGCGTTATAAGCGCGGAACCTGCGGGAATGAGTAGAATTATTATTAATAGCCGCAATCCTGCGACTGAAACAAGCCCTGCTCTGTGTTCTCTGCTAATAACCCGACTGTGAATGATGCGAGGCGTTATGTTGTCAGTGAGAAGCTGCAGCCGTGGCGGGGAGGATGTTTGGTGTGCTGGTGTTCTGACAAATAATGCTACCTATCAGATTATGCTACCAACAAATCGTCAGAACACCAGCAGAACAACAACAATGTGCTACATGTTTCTTTTCCCCTCATTTTTTCCAACTGACAGAAATCCGTGACGGAAAACTTTCATCCCGGAGTAGTGTTATGTACATCATACTGCAGCACAGTAACATATTTCTGATCATTTCTTTAAGCTAACCCGGACTTATATTTTGACGGGTTGCCATCGGGAACGTGTTTCTGTAGGTCTATGTAAATGATATGAAGATAGTTTTACTCCAATGAAACTGTCAAATGCTCATGAAGTGACTCTCGGAGGGATCAGAGCAGTTCTGGAGATGTTGTTCATGTATTTATGTCTTCATGTAGTGAGACGACAGAAGCGTGATCTCTGAAGCAGCTGCAGTTAGCAAGCGCTTTCGGAGTGAGAGTGAATTCTGCTTTGATTGGTCGGACTCGTGAGTCCCAACAAATCAGATGAGCGGTGGGCGGAGACTGCTTTAGGCTACGGTGAGTTCTGACAGGCTGCATCAGAGCCAAATAGCGTGTTTCAAAATTAAGTTATTTTATCGGCAAATCGGTTTTGAAAATGACTGATACCGATAATCATATAAATGCTTAATATCGGCGCCGATAATTGGTCGACCCCTAGCATAAATCTCAATTCTGGAAAATTGACACTTAACACTGGTTTTGTGCTCCAGGGTCACATATGATACATTTTGCAACACTGTTATTATCTTTCCTGTTTCTCACTGTGAAGCTGCTCTGGAAGACTTTGTATTGTATGAAGCGCTATAGAAATCAATGTGGCTGTTTTTCGGATATCGGTCCGTTTTGCGTCCAGGTGCCGAGCTTCAAGAACGCGACGCTGCCGGCGAGCGAGCAGGTGACGGCGCAGGAGATCGAGCGCTACTTCAGACAGGAGCTGATCTACACGCGTAACGAGCGCATGGGCCGCCGCGTCAGAGCGCTGCTGGAGGAGCAGCCCGACAACAGCTTCTTCTTCGCCTTCGGAGCAGGTCAGTCTCCTCGGGACGCTCCCGGATGCTGTGGCTTTGAAGTCTCCTTTGATCTGCATTTTCTCCATCTTCTGTTTCCGCGAGGGCTAGTAGAGTGTGAGCGGCCAGAGGCGGGTCATGTAATGAAACGTGTGGCTCGCGCTCTTTGATGCGGCTCGTTTCTGACCTCGGTATGCAAATATCCGCCGGTTTTTGACTCGTAGCCCGAATGCAAACACTGCTGCTAAAAATAATGGAGGGCTCATTTCACAGAGATTAAAAGAGATTTCTATGTAAATGATATGAAGATAGTTTTACTCCAATGAAACTGTCAAATGCTCATGAAGTGACTCTCGGAGGGATCAGAGCAGTTCTGGAGATGTTGTTCATGTATTTATGTCTTCATGTAGTGAGACGACAGAAGCGTGATCTCTGAAGCAGCTGCAGTTAGCAAGCGCTTTCGGAGTGAGAGTGAATTCTGCTTTGATTGGTCGGACTCGTGAGTCCCAACAAATCAGATGAGCGGTGGGCGGAGACTGCTTTAGGCTACGGTGAGTTCTGACAGGCTGCATCAGAGCCAAATAGCGTGTTTCAAAATTAAGTTATTTTATCGGCAAATCGGTTTTGAAAATGACTGATACCGATAATCATATAAATGCTTAATATCGGCGCCGATAATTGGTCGACCCCTAGCATAAATCTCAATTCTGGAAAATTGACACTTAACACTGGTTTTGTGCTCCAGGGTCACATATGATACATTTTGCAACACTGTTATTATCTTTCCTGTTTCTCACTGTGAAGCTGCTCTGGAAGACTTTGTATTGTATGAAGCGCTATAGAAATCAATGTGGCTGTTTTTCGGATATCGGTCCGTTTTGCGTCCAGGTGCCGAGCTTCAAGAACGCGACGCTGCCGGCGAGCGAGCAGGTGACGGCGCAGGAGATCGAGCGCTACTTCAGACAGGAGCTGATCTACACGCGTAACGAGCGCATGGGCCGCCGCGTCAGAGCGCTGCTGGAGGAGCAGCCCGACAACAGCTTCTTCTTCGCCTTCGGAGCAGGTCAGTCTCCTCGGGACGCTCCCGGATGCTGTGGCTTTGAAGTCTCCTTTGATCTGCATTTTCTCCATCTTCTGTTTCCGCGAGGGCTAGTAGAGTGTGAGCGGCCAGAGGCGGGTCATGTAATGAAACGTGTGGCTCGCGCTCTTTGATGCGGCTCGTTTCTGACCTCGGTATGCAAATATCCGCCGGTTTTTGACTCGTAGCCCGAATGCAAACACTGCTGCTAAAAATAATGGAGGGCTCATTTCACAGAGATTAAAAGAGATTTTGCTCTTTCCAGGAACAAATCTTGACTTTAAAACCCTGAGAAATGGACTTTTTTCCCCAGAAGAAAGTTTGTAGCCTTTGATGAAGCGTCCGTCACAAAGCTTTCCTAGTGATGTCCGCTCTCTGCCGGTTCACCGTGAGGTCATGTGTGGATCAGCGTTAAATGAAACGATGTGGAAATCTGAGTAAAGCTGCTTAGAACAAATGACTCGAGTTATTTTGGTAGCGGCCGCAGCACTTATGCTGTAATTGCAGTTTTGTTCATTTAGAGAAACTGGACTAATGGCCGAAAAACACACGCAATCTGCTCACCGCCACATATTCTGCTTCATTTAACTCCAGATTGAAAACGGAGATTATAAACACCAGGAAACTTGGTTCTGATTGACCTCTCAAACTCTCTCTCTCGAGTGTGTGTGTGTATGTGTGTGTGTGAGAGAGAGAGAGAGAGAGAGTGTGTGTGTGTGTGTGTGAGAGACAGTGTGTGTGTGTGTGTGTGTGTGTGTGTGTGAGTGTGTGAGTGTGAGGGTGTGAGTGTGTGTGTGAGAGTGTGAGAGTGTGTGTGTGAGTGTGTGTGTGTGT